TCTACATATAACCCAATTACCGAACAGTGTTCTGGTTTGGACTGCACCAGCATCTCTTTTCTAAGTCTGGCCATCTCTTTGTCCTTTTAATTTCAGTTCTTAAACTCATCAATCAATTCTTTCATTTATGTGATAAGCCTGCATTTAAAATAAATATTTACCATAAATTAAAGGTATCTGATATTATTAGATATATTATTATAAAACATGTTTTAGTTAAAGAGTTATTGATACTTCAAGTGCAAAATGATAATATAAAACCTTAATAAAAAAATATTTTGAAGTGCTAATGACATGCTATTGCAAGGGCACCTTCTCCCAAAATTATGAGATTAGTTGGGAAAATTGAGACATGTTTAATTATTGTTCTCATTAATATCGGTAGTACATATAGTTTTATTGATGTGAATGCGGCAAGAAGGGCAAAACTACCAGCAGAGAAAGGCTACTTGAAAGTTTAATGAAAAAGACTCTAATACAAAATAATGATTGTACAACCTTGTAAGAATGAATATTATCCTTACTAGGTGAAAGCTCTTTACTTTATCACAAAGCGTTACCCATTCATATATTCAAAGACTATGTTGTCGTGAAAATCAATTTAAACAACTACAATTGTCTTGTAATCATAGAAAGTATATAAAAAATATTAAAAACATTCTAGAACTCATAACAAAATGGGTGATGTTATATGCAAACTTCTTTCTATAACTTTTTGTAAATCTACTAGGGTGTGATATCACAACCTTAAACCTGGCCCTAGTCTTAGCTTTCATGAAGCTTATCTCTCATTTTAGCACTAGCATTCTAGCTAAAAAAAGCACGGCTAAGCTCTTTATAATCATTTAATGAGGAAATGAAAGAACTATAACTTATCTTTAGAGATCTAATGAGAAAATACAAGACGTAAACAATCTACTCAAACCAATTTCCACTAAAGCCTTGATTAGTGGAATCTAAAAATTATCATTATGGGAATGATTGTATACACTCCTTAAAAGGAATTTTATAATGGCCTGCAATTCTAAAAGCTTTTGAGCCTTCAATTTATGTGAAAAATAGCAAAAAAAAATAATTAATTACTCTTATAAGATCATCATTGTTCTTTTCTATCATATCTTCAATCCTTAACCTGTCATTAACAATTCTATTCAAATTTTACTAGAACCTTCTTTATCTAGGTCACTAAAAATTCTTATCTTCTCTTAAAATTATATACAACAAATTAAAGAAATTTCAATTCCTACTTATACAGCAATTCATTCCCACAAAAGGCCTCAGGCCATTTAAGTAAATGAACTAAAAAATAATCTTATGACAACATATATTACACATATTAATCTAACACTTTTGAAATTACATAAATAATCAATTTTACACGAGAAGATTTTACAAATATATTTTTGCTAGCTTCTATTAAGCTACTTTATGACCTAATCAAATATTTATTACTTCCACCATCTCACCAAATCTCCTAAACACTAATTTGTTGACAAGTTCAGTCGTTGACTTACGAAGATAAGTTAGAAAACCTTGCAATCATAACATATATTTATACATATATAAGCTTTATATTTGAAGAACTTACAAAGCAGATCCAGTTATCTATAAACTCTACTAAGTAGTAAACCTTACCAAATTTTCATGTATCATATGCAACATCATATAGTCCAATTAGCCTCACATTTCATTCCATATCTTGACAAATATTTCTTCTTTTGTATTCTCATTTCTATTTTTACTTATATTCTTTGACAACTCTTTACTCAATTCCTCATTCTAAATCTGGAGGCAATTTCTTACCTGACCTTCATCTTATAAACCTTCCCATCTTGACACATCCTTAAGCTCTAACTTTGATGTAAATCTATCTCATGGTACCACCTCATAGACAAAACTAAGAAAAGAGGTGAATCCCTCTTAAATTTTCATCATGGATACTTTCAAACCGATCACCATAATAGGGAACTTCCTACTAATTTCCAATTATAACAATTAGTATCCTAAGCTCTCATCTAAATATTTTACTCAATTAGTTCTAGTATTCTATTTTTATCAATATAATATGTAAATCTGCCTATTATATCTTCACATACTTAATGATCCCATGTTTAACAAACATGTTGTACAATCACATGTTTTTCAGTCATAGCAAACCTTTTAATTTCTAATAATCTGGCTATCCCTTATGGATGCTAATCAATCTGGCGAACTCTTTTGGTTATCAAATATCTCTTTCTATCTTTTTGTTTCATTCCTACTTTCCCTTTATACTTTTAACATTCAATATATAATAATACATTTAAAGGATTTGTAGTTATGAAATTATATAAAACTCTATAAATAGCTCTATGTGTTGAGCACCTATCTGTAGAAAAATAATATAATTATCAAACACAACATAAATTCCTAATTATCAAACATAAAACAAGTACCAAATTAAACCAAAACATAAAATTTATTAATTTAATAGGTAAACTCATCAAACTAATTGATTAGTACTTGAAAGTGCATTTTTATCAAGGTTTTATATTATCATTTTGCACTTGAAGTATCAATAACTCCTTAACTAGAGTATGTTTTATAATAACAAGTCTGATAATATAAGATACTTTTAATTTATGGTAAATGCTTATTTTAAATACAGGTATTCTCACAATTCAAAGGATTGATTATTGTGATTAACTATCGGAAGTGAAAAGACAAAGAAAAGGCTAAGCTTAAGAAGGAAAGCCCGATTCAATTCAAATTTGAATATTGTTTAGTCATTGGATCATATCTAGAGCTATAGATCTTGGATTTCAGATTAATTTATATGGATGGAAAGATAAGAAATAGGCATACAACTTTCATGGGTATTGAAAGACCTAAATTTTTCATTTTTAAATTCCAAGTTTGGCCACAAAAGAAAAGTCAAGATTTGTCCTGCAATTCAACCCAAACACTGCTCAGAGTTTTACCCATAACTGGAGTTCTAGAAGGCCAAATGATGTAAAATTTGATGGGTGGAAGGAAAAGACAATTTCCAACAACTTTCATGAAGAAGACTAGCTTACATTTTGATGGTAGAAATGACATTTCTTCCAAATAAGAGCATGAGGGCTATCTACCACATCCACCAGCAGTACTGCTCAGTATTTTAGATATATCTCGAGCTGTAATGCTCCAAATGCTCTGATATTTGATGGGTGGAAAGAAAAGATAATTTATAACAACTTTCATGAGAACACTTTGCCAAATTCTGTTTGTATCGATGTCAATTCATCCAGCCAAAATGCTTGAGTGCTGTTGTCCACCAAGTCCACTAATCAATAGTTGGCCACTACATGAATTATCAATTACCAAATGAATAGTTTTGAATTTTAGCCTATAAAAGGAGGCATTTGTCATTCATTTAGGCATCTTGTTTTTTATATCAAGATCATGTTGTTACTCTCTCTCTTTATATTTTTGTAATGCTTAAGTTTTGCTTTCATTAATCTCTTGTTCATGCTTTTCATTTCATTTACTATACTTAGTTAACTTATATCATGTTTATGTTCTTATATTATTTATTTAAGTTTTTCTTCTTCATAATGTCTAGCCATGTTAATTATGTTAATATGAAAAGGTTTCATTAGGATAAGTATAATATAAACTTAATATGGACTTCACTGCTTATATCCTAAACAACTTGCTGTTGACATGTCTTATTATTTTTATCTTATTAATTCTTAATACCTTACTTGTTAAATAGTGAATCTAAATTTGTGTTAAATAACACTTGGTACATCAAATACTTGATCCTTTATAGTCTTCGGCCAGCATCGTTATTATGAGAGGAACTTGATTTGTTGTCAACATAAGTTAGCATCATGAATACTTGATAAAATTTATAAGTATGATGTTACGTAAATAAGATGATTAATATAATCATGTTGATAATTTATAAAACGTTTATACTTTACTTATTTCTAATACTATTAATGTATCCTCTAACCTTGACATTTGTTTTTATCATTGTATAATCTTCACATTAATCTTACATCTCAAAGTCCTTTTTGACTCATCTTCACGACCACCATCATCATTGTTGTTGTTGTTCTTATTAATATTTTTATTTTTTATTATAATTTATATAGTTAACTTTGATGTGGTTTGATCTTGGTCTTGCCACGTTATTTATTACTTTGATACTTCTGCATTTGAGATAAGACATCAACTTTTTGATCGTGTCACTAACAAACAATGCAAAAGTCTTACCTTGCTTTTATGATGTGTAGGTGGCTAAAGGTGGCAATTGTGGTGGCAATTTGGCTGAACATACAAGTTTGGTCAGCAATTTAAAGCAAAAAAATGATAGAAATTTCCGTGAAGATAAGGAAAAGATGATTCAGGTGTTTTGATGAAGAATTAAATGGTGTTTTGGGTGATTTAAAAGTTTTTTTTATTATTTTTTTTAGATTTTAAGATTTTTTTAAAAACAGTAGTAATTAAAAAAAAATATTTGTGCAAGTATATATATATATAACTGCTGTTACTATTCAAACATGGTTGTTAAAAAAATTGCTATTCTAAATTGCAATTTTTTTAGCACTCAATTTTTTATAAAATTGCTATTTTAAATTATAATTTTTTTAGCAACGATGTTTGAATAGAACAGTAGTTATATATAGAAACAGTAGTTATATAAAAACTAATGTAACATTTTAAACTTTGAACCTTTTTTTTATACTGTGTTAGTTTTTTTTTTTTTAGTAACATTTTAAACTTTGAACCTTTTTTTATACTGTGTTAGTTTTTTTTAAAAAAAAAAAAATCCTTTAGTGGCGCCTTTTTCGGAGGTCTTTTCTGAACAAGTACCTCATCAATCTTAATACCAGCTTTACTTTTATTTTGTTTAGGTTTTTTTTACAAAGTTGTTTAATTATTTACTAGCATTAAAAAACACATCATTTCGTTTTCTTAATAAAAGCGCAAAAGGTCATATCACACCCTCCTTTCAAGCAAAACCAATACCATACTCCAAGCTAAAAGAAATATAAACACGGGCCACCCACCACCCCTCTGGTCATAACACAACAATCTCTCCCTCCATGCCTCGCCGTGGCTCCCCATCTCCTCTCCTCAACCTACCACTTCTCATCGTAATCTTACCCATAATTGCATTGATTCTCTTATTCTTTGCTCTCCCTTCTTTGCTCTCCCTCACCTCTCACAAAATTCGACCGATCACTAATACTACTGTTATCAAGAGAAGCTGGGACTCACTCTATGTTTTTCTAGTCTTGTTTACAATTCTCTGTGGCATCTTTGCTAGAAGAGACGACGACGAATCAACCACTAATGAAGACAATCCCAGCAACCACGAAAAATCGAAACGACACTCCGTTTCAAATGCTCCATGGTTTGCTGATGACTTCTCTGACCCAAAGATCTATGCTAATACCAACAATAGTACGCCACTTGGTGGCACAGCGACAACCGCCACAGGCGACAGGTTAAAGATGAACAGTAGATCCTACCCTGATTTAATGCAAGACTCCTTTTGGGAAACTACTGATGATCGATTTCGGTTCTTTGATGATTTTGAAATAAACAACTACCGCTCACCAATCCACCATCGGAGACATCGGAATGGAGTGTTCGAAGAATCTTGTGTTAAGGATATTCGTGTTGATACTTTTGTAAGCGGCTCCTCATCAAAGTTACAATCGCCACCACCGCTGAAGACTTCTGCGCCTCCGCCTCCGCCTCCTCCACCGCCTCCTCCTCCAACAACAACGAAGTCCAATCACAAACAGAAGCGAACATATAGAACACTTCCACGCGGAATAGAGAAGGCAAATGAAAATGACCATAAATCCACAAAAATCAAAACTTCGCCCCCAACGCCCCCTCCTCCTCCACCACCACCACCACCACGACGGCATGCAACCCCAGCGCCACCAAAGAAAATGCACGGCAAAAGTGAACGTAAAAGGACGAATGCAACTAAAGAGATAAAGATGGTGTTGGCTTCTTTATATAGGAAAAAAACGAAGAAACAGAAAACACAAGTTTTATCCAAAAACGATACAGTTCGCTCTCCAAGTGAATCGCCTTCCACTACTAGACCTCCACCGCCTCCTCCTCCGCCTCCTCCACCGCCACCATCAGTGTTCCACTTTTTATTTAGGAAAAATAGCAAGAGTAAGAGAATTCATTCCTTTTCTCCACCACCAGCCCCTCCTCCACCTCCAACGACAATGAGGTTAACTAGGCATAAGAACCAAGTGCCTCTTCCACCACCGGAACCCCCAAGGAGGCGAAGATCATCCACCACAGGCCAGCCACCGTTGCCGAGAGGGGTGAATAACGGAGGACAATCCCCGCTCGTTGCAATGCCTCCTCTACCGCCTCCCCCGCCATGTCAGATGCCAGGTTTTCAATTTGTTCCCAGAGGGGATCTTGTTGAGAAACGAAGTGCACAGGGTTCACGGTGTAGCTCTCTAGATTTGGAGGAGGTTGACGAGGATTCAAGCAGACAAACAGTCAGCAAAACGGACGGTAAAGATGGGAGTGGTGGGCCCTCTTTTTGTCCCAGCCCTGATGTTAATATGAAAGCAGACACTTTTATTGCCAGGCTAAGAGATGGGTGGAGACTGGAGAAGATAAATTCTTTGAGAGAGAAAGGAAGTGTGGACCATGGCCCAGGTACAAATCCGACAAAAATCTGAAAATTACTTTGAAGTTGAAGGGTTTCGTTACAATTCACACATTTTTCTCTTTTTCTCGTCGGTTAATTTGGTTTATGATCCTACATAAGAAAAATATATATGTGTTGATGGTATGCAGATAGGAGCTTTGAGTAATGTTTTTTATTCACCATTCGGAGCTCCTTTGTAGAGGATTTGATTTGGGTTTTCTTCTTCTTCTTCTTCTTTCAAAGTTTGAAGATAAAAAGCACCAAGTTAATTGCTCATGGCTTTGGTTGTCTTTTTTGCTTACCAACTAGAGCCAGCCATCTTCAGGGTTTCACGAAAGGAGTATGGTGGTTGCATTAGGCTTCTATGGTGTTTTTGCTTAATCTTGTAGGCATATTTTTCTTTTTACAAATATTGTTTAATTGAAGTTAACGATTGAAAAACACTGCTTATTATAATGCATACAGAGTATGATTGATATTGATAACGCTTGTTTGGAGTACAAAAGGTTTTGCCGTCAAGATTATTCTTGAAGATTCTATATTTTCTTGAGTTCAAGATTTTGTTATTTAGTATTCGTAAAGGATTTGAAATTTTATTTTCAAATCTGAAAATGATAAGCGAGTGAGAGAAGACAAAATCTAAAAGCTTGAAAGGAGTGAAAAAATAAAAGGAAGAAATAAATATTTTTATTTTCCTTGTGCACTAAAAATAGATATCTACATGTTAACTAAATATTAACATAGAAAAAATGGCTAAAATTGATAGTTAACAACAAGATTAATTAGGTTTAGAAAGAATTCAAAATAATTAGGAAAGATAGAAAGTAATCCATGTGTGCACTAAATAAATAAAAATAGTAGTTGTTCATTACTAAATATTACTAAATAGAGAAAAGAAAGCTAAAATAAATTATTAATCAAGTTTAGAAAAAAAGTTCAAATTGACTATTGACTAGAGAAGATAGGGGCAATCAACCAATGAAACTGTAAGTCATAATCGATCAAAAATGTTAGAAGTCATCATCAATAAAACAAAAATAACTAAGAGATATTGATTAGAAGAATAAGCTCTATTATAATTAAGAGCATGTAGCATATTACAAATACAAGGATTATAAATTAGTTATAAAATATATAATTGCTAAAAAGAAGATGTGCTATAGAAATTTATAGAAATGCAAATTGTAGTAAGATTTATATTGTATGCTTTTGATATATTATAAACAACTTGTATAGGGTTAGGAATTGTAGTCTATATAGGATTTTATTTTTATAACAATTTTAAAAAATCATCTGTAATTTATTTTTATAATTTGTTTTTATTTTTACAATTTATTATTTTCTTTACAACTTTTATTTTCTTTTGTATTTTTTTTATTTTTTTATCTAAATCAGATTAGTTTTAAATTACTCTTTTTTTTAATCTAATAGAGCTAAATTAAGAACCTTAAATTATATTTGATTTGCAGGTTGTTATCTGCTATACTTAAGATAGAGTTTTGAATTGTAGTTTCTCATTGTTAGAGATAAGAAACAAAGAACAAATAAAATATTGATCAAGAAACCAGTGGTTGTTCATCATATTGGCACATGTTTCATCATCACCAAGATTATTTGTAAGATCAACAAATTAACATGCCCGATGAGACAATTTTGTTAACATAATAATAAATAAGTTGGTAAAAATATCATTATTATGACTGATGAATTGTCGGTATGTGTAACTAACATAGGCCAATCTTACAACCACGAAGAACTTGACAGTCAATTGCCAATACATGAGCCAAATGATCAACCTCCATTAAAAATGCTACACGATGGCTCCTCATCATCTAACTCCCTACAACAACAAAGAGTTGTATAAGAATAAAGTTATAGTGATCTTATGCAATCTATACCCTGTTGTCATTCTCAATTGTTATTATTCATTTTTTACTCCATAAAAAGTAAGAAAAGAAAAAAATTCAAAACACAAGAGGATATATATACGAAGAAAGCCTAGAAGATCACTCAAGTTGGTGTTGAATGACCCAAATAACAAGTAAAAAAGTTGGAGGACCAAAATATATAAGATTCGTGAAATTAACAACTTAATTCTGATTGATAAAGGATCTATTTGATGAAAATATTTTTATTTGGGGTAAAGAAATACAGATATAAATAGGAAAGGACTTGATGATAATTTTAGAAGGCTTAATTAATTTTATTAAGAACTTAATTGCAAGAAAATTTGATATTTGAAGTCAATTTAGGCATTATAAGTAATTAAAGTCTAAAGGTCGATTTGTAATTTTAAAGAGTTAATTTGGTCAAGTCAGGGTTTAATTGAATAAATATTAAAGCTTGATGGGCAATTATGGACTTGATTGAAGAAATTTAAAATCAAGAATCAAACTAAAAAAGACCTAGGTGTTGAAATTGATCAAGTCAAGGACTAAATTAAATAAATTAGAAGTTTGATGTCAATTAAAAGTCAAAATGCATAATTTCATAACCAATGACTAAAATAAAACAAGCAATCAATTTTAGGGCTAACAACTGAGTTTAGCAGAGGTAATGTTGCATGAAATTAAAAATTTATGAAACAATTATGAGTATAATTAGACGCAAATGGAAGAAAATAGACTAAATTGCCATTTACTTTTAGGGCTAACAACTGAGTTTAGCAGAGATAATGTTGCATGAAATTAAAAATTTGTGAAACAATTATGAGTATAATTAGAAGCAAATGGAAGAAAATAGACTAAATTACCATTTAATAAAATCTCAAATTAAAAAGCTAAATTTTTAGGATTTAACTCTAAAACCCTAAAAATTAGTCAACAAATCAAGGAAAGAGAGTAAGAACATGATCTTAATCTGAAAATCAAAATGTCTAAATGCATAACACATGCCTCCTTTTAAATAAAGAGCATGATTTTGATCTGAAAATGAAAATATCTAAATTCATGGTAAATGCCTCCTTTTATAGGTTAAAATTGAGAACTATTGATTTGTTGACTAATTGTTGAGTGGGTGGCCACATCTTGACTTAGTGACAATCCTTATTTTCTTATCTAAACAAAACGTCATTGCTAACATCAGAATTTGAACAGACTTAATTCATAAAAGTTCTAGTGAAAGTTCTAGGAAATTGTCTCAGCTTCTAATAAGAAAAAAATAAGAGGGTTATTTAGACTGAACAGTGTCTAGGCTGCAAGACAGATTTGGACTTCTCCGTTGTTGCTAAGATTTGGACTTCCAAACAGCAGACTTAAGTCTTGCAATCCCATGAATGTTTTAGGCCTATGTCGTAGCTTTGTAATTGTAACATCAGAATTTGAACAAATCATCTGTATTGTAACATCAGAATTTGAACAAATCATATGTGCTCCAGATATAACCCAATAACTAAACAGAGTTCTAGTTTGGGCTGAACCAGCATCACTTTTCTAAACTTTACCCTCTCTTTATCTTCTCAATTTTAGTAGTTGAACTTATCAATCAATTATTTAATTTATGTGATTGACCTGCATTTAAGATGAATATTTACAATAAATTAAAGGTATCTTATAGTATCAGACTTGTTATTATAAAACATGTTTTAGTTAAGGAGTTATTGATGCTTCAAATGCAAAATTCTTATATAAAACTTTAATAAAAATATATTTTTAAATACTAATTATTATACCCGAAAAATCCACCACAATACCTAGCAGGTTGGAAGGGATGTCGCTCGATATCAACAAAGTATGGCTAAGACTTATGCTTTTCTTAAGGACATAGAAAATAAAGGGTTTGCCTTTCTCCCTATAAGCAATGATGATGAGTAGACTAACTTTTATAGGTAAAATTTTTCATCAAGTATTAATGAAAAAAGGCTTAGACCTAGCATTATGAGTACTATCTCTTTATGGTGAGTACGCTTTTATAAAATATTGACTCGGATTACATTATCTCAACAACTACGAAACAATTAGAACCATATCTATTTATACATGAATCGTGGCTATATATCAACCTAGGATATAGCTAATCCTTATCAAACATATATCATTATCCATAATCATATGAATAATGATTAATTACCTTTTGGAACCAAAAAGACATAATAATTTAATCGAAAGTAGAATGACGATGAAGAAGTGAAGAAGTGAAGTAGAACCCTATCTATTTATACATGAATCGTGGCTATATATCAACCTAGGATATAGCTAATCCTTATCAAACATATATCATTATCCATAATCATATGAATAATGATTAATTACCTTTTGGAACCAAAAAGACATAATAATTTAATTAAAAGTAGAATGACGATGAAGAAGTGAAGAAGTGAAATAGAATGAGTGATAAATGTATGAAAATGAAAAAGGTTCTCTTTAGGAGGGTAGGGAGGCAATTAATACATGAATAAAATGGTTAAATAATAAAATTGGATGTAGGGTAATTAGAAAAGTGCTTGGTGAAACCAATATACCAAAAAAAAAGGGGGGGATAAAACATGATTTTGCAACAAAATAATGCTTTATTATAAAAATAAAAATAAACTAAAGCCAAGAAATAAAAACTATAACTTCCTATTCAAATGCAATATTCTTTCACTCAAAGAACTAGAAACTAGTTTTTCAATTTTTTAAATTTGTACTAAGTTTGGAAAATATATTTTAGAGGTTCTTTATAGTTTTTCAATATAAATTTTTCATTGTTTTCAAAAGAAAGAAAAAACATGAACAATACATTCTTTTTTATGTACAAGTACTTTTTGGCAATTTAAAAGATTAAAATTATTTTTTATATTTTCATATTTAGTTAGTGTTATAAATTTAATTTTTATTATAAATAGAATATAAAGTTTTTTGTAGTTAACAATATAAATTTTTCATGGTAATTTTTAATTTGAATGAAATAAAATTAAGATTTTACAATTAGATTATCATAAACATAAAATATTAAGATGAGTATTATAAATTATGGTTTGGTTTTTTTAATGAAAAATAATTGTGACCTTGATTTATTATTTTATTTTATTTTATTTTATTGTAGAAAAATCCGTCTTTGTTTTCAGTAAATGAACATGATTTACAATTTTTCATTGAAAAATAAAAACTAAAAAGGGAAGAGAAAACTAAAAACTAAAATAAAAAAATATTTTTTGTACACACCCTAAGATTTTTTTTCGTATTATTTTATGCATGTTATATAAAAAAAATTAATAGATTGAGTATGAATAAAAAGGTAAAAAGAAATGGATGATGCATCAAACAAACACAACATATCTGAGAGGAAAAAAATATATAAGTTTTTATAATTTGATTGTTTTTATGGTAATGCAATTTATTGAAAGGAAAGGAGTGTATGACACTGAAACACTAAGTAGATGTGTTTGTTTTATTTTGATTTGGGTAGAAAAGTTAAAGACTCAACAGAAATGCAAGTCTAATCAACTTAATTTGTCATTATATACTTGATTGATTATTAAATATTGATATGTA